CTTAGCACTGACAATGTTATGTTCTAGCCCCTGGCAATTTTGCAATTTTATGTTCTAGGATGTGACAAAATGCTATACGCTCTGACAATATTTATGTTCTAAGCTCTGAGCCTCTGACAATATTCATTTAGTTTCACGGCCCGGACAATATTATGTTCTACGCTCTGACAGGACAATATTATGTTCCATGCCCGGACAATATTATGTTTTTCTACGCTCGGACAATATTATGTTTCACGCCCGGACATATTATGTTCTACGCTCGACAGGACAATCTTATGTTCCACGTCCGGACAATATTATGATCTACGCCCGGACAATATTATGTTCCACGCTCGGACAATATTATGTTTCACGCCCGGACAATATTATGTTCCATGCCCGGACAATATTATGTTCTACGCCCGCACAATATTATGTTCAACGCCCGGACAATATTATGTTCCACGCTCGGACAATATTATGTTCCACGCTCGGACAACATTATGTTCTTCACTCGAACAATATTATGTTATAAGCTATGACGATGTTATGTTCTAGGCTTGTTCTATGTTCTAGGATGTGACAATATAAGGTTCTACGTTCTGACAATATTTATGTTCTAGGCCCTGACAGTGTTATTTTTAAGGTTGTGACAATATGTTTTAGACTCTGGCATTATTTATGTCCAGGCTCTATTAATAGACTCTGACAATATATGTGCATTACCTTTGTTACGCGTGACTGTGTCTACCATCTAGTTCCCTTTGAATGATATTCTATTTATTGAAATATCATGTCCTGATATAATTCTAACATTTATATGAGCTGCGTCACGACAAAACCAACATAATGGGTTACGACCAGCATGGATCCAGACCAACCTGCGCATCCGCGCAGTCTGATCAGGATCCATGCTGTTCGCTATCAGTTTCTCTATTTGTTATAGGGTTTATAAGCGAACAGCATGGATCCTGATCAGACTGTGCGGAGGCTGGTCTGGATCCATGCTGGTCGCAAACGCATTACGTTGGTTTTGTCGTGACGCGCTCATATACATTTGATAAAGAGAAAAGTTCAATTAAATTTGAGGGAATTTTAATCAAGATAATTGGTATTGAAAATTTAATTGATTTAGTATTTTCCGTATCTTGTACTACCATATTTGTAATGACTTTGAGACTAATAAATACAGATTGTTTTTCGTTTAAAGAAAAAATAACGTGTACTCTTACATTTCTATGGCTTATTATGTATTCAATATGATTAAAATGCTAGCAAAACGTTACTATTAATTTTCATTATAAACTAAGTGCAACTGTTTTTCATAGACACTATATTATCTTAATGATATTTTGAATTATTTCCCATAATTATTTAGTTAAGTGATGAGATTTTAAATATATCTCTACAAAAATGTTTGAACACCCACTACTGACGTAAAAATTACAGAACACCTACAATTGACATATAATTTACCGAACACCTACAATTTAAATATTTATATTGTAATTACATATAATGTACATGTGTTTGTTATTGTTATTGGTCATATATCAAATTTTATGGAGTTCATTGCGAGCGAAACCGAAGGCATAGCAATAATTTCCGTAAACTTTGATGTAGACCAATAAATTGCTTACCTTGCACTCCTTTAGATTAATAGAAATTAAGATGCGTGTACAATTTCAGAAAGATCCTTCAAAGTACATGTATTTACGTATTTTAAAATGGCCAATGAAATTCTCGTTGACTAGTTTTAAATGACAAATGAAAATTGTACTTCATGTTCATATTCAGTTCTTCCCAGTGAATTTTACAGGATGTCAAACTGATTTTAGACCGCCTTCGGCCGAAAAAATAAAATAAATACCTGAATTGTTTCATCAAAATGCTGGTTATAAAATGTGTGTTTTACACTACACAAATTATATCAATTGAGAATAAAAAATTATGGATGTTTTTTTTTGTTCTGAAAGTGCAAGCAAAGTTTTATTCGCAAAAGTTAATATTTACTACGAATATTTTTCATTTAATGCAGGCTTAGCATGCTTATATCGGTGCTCCACTGGGTGTCATATTGGGAGCTTTTCTGGTAATCGTTTGTGACTTGATGCTGATAGGGATGCATTTTATGAACGTACTCTTATTTACCACAGTTCTCATATGTTACCAAGCTTATGTTTTACTTAATGATTCTTTTAAACGGTAAGTCAGGCGAAGATTAAATTTTGCTTTGCTGGTGCTAGAGGGCATGAAAAACTTTGCATGGGATTTCCGTAAGCACGCTGTTCTTCTTTATCAATGCCATACTGTTAGTGTCTGTTAGTGGAAATATTATTTTCTCTGTTTCTCTGTTTTTTCTATACAATATTTTTTTCAAACACTCATCTAACCAACTACAAACTCATATGTTTTGTATATAACATAAAATTTCTTATTATTAAATAATAACTCATTGTTCTTCAAACATATCCATGTACATGCATATTCACACTGCCATTTTTTAGCAATTAAATACTCTAGGATAAGACCTATATGATTACCAGCTTTCGGTTCTGATCCCTTTTCATTCATTTCATGTGTTTATCAAAGTTTTATTTTATTTGTAAATTGTAAATGTGTATACTTGTTTGAAATACTGAAGATTTTGCACTTTTCACTATTCCTCGTGAGCAGAATAATATGACCGTGTAAGCATTTCGTTTACTTATAGATTTCTACTTTTGTTACTTTTTGAGATATCTCCTTTTCATACTTTTTGTTATATAACCCACACAGACAATATTAGATCTAATATACTTGTTTCCTTGATGTTTTGTTGATGACTTTTGTTATTACAGTGTTTGTATCTGCAATACCAGAAATTGTTATAGTTAACACGGTGCCTGCTGTGAAATAGTACGCAATTTTTTCACTGCCAAATGAATTCAATTTATCAACATTAAGACATTCAAGCGAAACTTATAAAATATCTTTCCTCAACTAAATCACATTAGTCTTTGTTTTCACTGTTTTGTCTCTAAGATTTTGTGATTTTATACAAACATAATATAAGCCGTGTCACGACAAAACCAACATAATGGGTTTGCGACCAGCATGGATCCAGACCAGCCTGCGCATCCGCGCAATCTGATCAGGATCCATGCTGTTCGCTATCGGTTTCTTGACTTGTCATAGAGTTTGTAAGCGAACAGCATGGATCCTGATCAGACTGCGCGGATGCGCAGGCTGGTATGGATCCATGCTGGTCGCAAACCCATTATGTTGGTTTTGTCGTGACGCGGCTCATATAAAGGTGGGATGATTTTTACTTTGAGAATTTTGATTTTGTGACTAACAGTAGCAACGTTTCTATGAAAATTTTCAAATGAATCCTATCTTACAATTATATTTTAACTTTAATTTTTAAGAAGTGTAATGAGCTATCTTGAATTACGAACATTATCTCATGGAAACATTTATCTCCCCTGTTATTATGACATATGACATTATGCCCATCCAAGAGTAAATGGCGAGTATTCAGGAAAAATTATGATAACTTTATATTTTGTCACATTTATTTTCAATTTATTAATAACCTCACACGGGTAATCAATGGCCCACATAAATATCTTTAAAGAACCTTAGGAAGATATCAGTAATGTACAATTTATAAAAAAGAGTAGGGTAGTCTTTTTATATTTTAGGCAATTTCTTTTATATTTAATACTTAACTTTTTTTGAATATCAATTATTATTGTTCAATCGCCATTTAAATGTAAATATTGTAAGATGTTTGAATTATTTATATTTAGCTTGACAGTGAAAAAATGAGCACATTGTCACTCTTAACTATGAAACACTGACAGTCAGATGTAACAAAATAAAGTACAATACGTAACAAAATAGAGTACGATACGAAACAATATAGATTACCATTCGGGTTAAAAACGTTAACTGAATAAAACACAAGATTCAGTGGAATTATATTTTTAGTTAGTTCACCTATTAAGTATTATTAAGTATGAAAACGATTTGGAGCTATTGTTCTCTCACTCTATATATATAAATACACATGTTTTTTTTTGTTTAAATGTTTTGTTACGCCAGATAACTAACCAGTAATTTATTTTTCCATGCAAATGACATACCACTTATACCACACTATTTCTGGATCATTTGTGAGGGACTCATAACCGTTTAAAGGTAATAATTAAGTTGTTTCCAGCCATTTTCATCAATTTGAGATGCCAAGTCATTTTGCATGAAAATGAAATTTTGCTAAGTCATTACTGACTAACAGGTCAGTCGTATTTTCTTAAATTCCATTCTCGATTTTCCATCATTAATGAAAGGTAGTAGTTAAGAGGTGGTACTAAAAGACTTGATGCCAAATCACACTTAAAACAAATGGTATATAATAGTTTGTACGTACATGTAATGATGTGTTAAACAATTATGAATTGATAGATTTTACATTTCATGATGTTTAAAATGATAAATACATACAATATGATTATCATTTCCGTTGGCTGTTCACCTTAAAGTACCCTAATTATTGGCAAGCTTGTTCACAATATAATAATTTTTGATGAAAGCAGACCATTTTTATCATCATTTATCCTTTCAATACCTTTATCATTTTTATCAGCGTTTCATCGACTGAGAGAATTTAGAATAATACACGGGCATGCTCATTTGGCATTTGTACATTACTAATTATCATACAGTTTGTCATTCAAAGAAAAGGCATGACGCAAGCGTTCACACACCTTTGTCAGACTTGGAAATAAAAGCCAAACCTAGCAAACAACATAAATCAGTAACGTGTTAATGAACACTTACCAGTCAGCAAAAGTTCGTAACTAGGAGAGCCAATATGGCTAACAGAGGGACAAAAACAAGATACAGATGGTCTGTTGGCGAATGTCATTCACTCTTATAGCGTTGTCGTCATTGAAATGTTTATTGATTGTAAGGTAAAGCTCTCGATGCTATCTCCATTACCGTGCGAACGACTAATTTATTTAAAGGTGGGCATCTCTCTCTATATAAAGTTGTTTGTAATGATTATTACAAATCACTTTCAATACTAAATTTCAAAAAAATACTGAACTTAACATCGGAACTGCAAAAAAGCTATTTTTCAAAGACTTTTTTCCAAATTCGCGAACGTTACTGTAATTTTTATATATGCTGTTTTAGATAGAACAATATCAAACTGCAGGGGATAATAAATTTGTGAAAAGAAAAGAGAGAAAAAATATTATTTCTACGTCTTCACCTGGTAAAGGTTTGTGAATTAGTTTTTTTATTTATTTTCTTCAAAATTATATTTTTCTATTTGCTGAATTTTTTATTGGAAGTACTTGTAGAGAATTTTCAAATATTTAAATTTTCTTAAACTAAAACTAAAATTCTTAGATATATAAGAGAGAAAAAGTATACATTTCTTGTATTTGCTAATTTATTTGTGTGTTTCTTAGAATTTTCATGAATATTTTACAACCTTATTTAATCACATTATCGTCTAGTTTTAATTTCTTACCATCGGAATTTACTATAAAAGTGTGCATTGTCAAATTGGTTATTTGAGACACTTATTTACAGTTATTTCTACTGTTTGGTGTACATTTGTTTTAAATATCTTTAACAACCATTTAATCATATGTATATCAATTGCTCTATGTCCGTTACCTCAAAATAAAAAGATTTTTCGTTTTCTTTTGCATTCTAATAATTCTAAATTTCAAAGGTTTGGCAAAAATAGTATTTTTGTTTTAACATTAAAGAGCAAGGGTAACATAAAAATGAAATAAAGCGTCTATGACCAAATTTATGATTGAAATGTGTTAGTTCTCAAAAATAAAATTAGTTTGAATGCAACAAATATCGCTTTGTTAAAGGAAAAAAAACGACGTATTTTATATAAAGAAATGAAAAAAGGTGTAAGTATGTGTAACAGAACAAATTTTAGAAGAAAAAAAATCATCCGAAACGTGTTTAGTATGACGGCATTTTAAATATCTCAATGTTTTATTTTTTGTAACTTTGAAAGCAGTAAAGATTAAAACGGTCAAAAGCGTATTCTACAAAGCATTGAAATCACTTAACATTTCAAACAAAAACTCTTTAATGAAAGTATAATACATATGCAAATAAAAGTGCAGACAATTATACATGTTTTATGTAAGAAATGATATGTTTTACAGGAATATTTGTACATGTATGAGAATTTATTTTGTTTTTCAAACGTTTGATATTTAGATGATAAAAATGATGATCAAAAATAAGCATCACCGTACAAATAGAATCCGCCATAATGTCATAAAAATGCAAACCGTTAGCATGTTTTAAATTCTATTTCCATGGTCACAATAGTTTTTTTCTAAATATAAATTCAAGCAATGATATCATGAAATAATGGAATTCAGTTATAGAATTTTATTATTGCGCGTGCGGGTCAATTTATTTCAAAATGTTCGTGTCACTTTTAACTTTTATTTCCGTCTAAGGGTTACATCAAGTATACAACATACGCATCATTATATTTATAAATATTGCAGTAAATTATGGCAATAAGTTCTATTTATCATCTCATTATTTGAGGAGTTTAAGAATTTTTAATTTTAACCATTTCATATCTAAATGTTAAGTTCAGCTTGAACCGAAGCTAAGAGGGCGTGGACGGTATATTACAATTACCATACCAAGCTGAGTCGATCAAACCATGCCTACGATATTTTAACCTTGCCGTTATGAGAGTTAAATAAGTTTTGCATTTTTATCGATAAATCGTTAAGTCAAAGCAGTAAACAGCCTCATGCTTTTGCTCTTTTTTACTATGAAACAACTATTTTCCAAATTCCTCTTTGATACTAAACGCAAGATGCAAAAAAACTCATTTATTTGTCTTACCGATTCTATAGTGATGATAAGTTTGATAAGTTTATTTCAATATTTCTTTGGACCAAATGGTCCATGAGGATAAACAGACACATGATACATGACAACAGCTCCTAGTTCATATCTCTTTTACAATTTGTTATATACCTATGCATGGGATACCTTTTAATTGAATTTTATGTGTTTTCTGTATTAAAATGGAAAACCTCAAAGTGAATTATCTGTTTATTATATCAAATTATGGACAGTTTCTCGCTGTCAATTGTTTGCCATTTTATTCTTTACATGAAGGTTCGGAGCGATTTCCATTTCTTTTATCATTTTTCTTTTAAAGAAGAGACAAACAACTATCACCTCTTTTATTTCCGAGTTAATCTGCTTGGTACAAATCGTCTTATTTAACAACTGACTGACTCTGACAAATGCCTCCGTCAATTGAAATTCATTTTCAGTTTTCTTTTGCAAGGAGAAAAAGAACATTCGTTCGAAGCGATTGAAAAGGAGTTCGTTATTTCACAGATTCATTCAATAAAACATTCAAAAGAAATAATCAAGGACTGCATGATTTTGTTTTGCTTTTTGTGAGGCATTTTTTATTGGATGTGTGAGCTTGTCAAATTTACACGCTCAAATAAGGATTGTGAGCCAATTCTCAATTTGTTTTTAACTCTAATGGAAGAGCTTGGAAATTTAAACTTGAATTTCTATTGTCATTAACGCAATGTGTTAAGCATGTTTTTGCCTGTATAAATTATGATGACAAATAAAAAACGATCAAGTATTATTTCCTTTTCAAATTTTCAGCTAATTATTGTGAAGTTGGCATGTTTATGACTTTGTTAAACATGGACTGTGTTGTTCTTGCAAGTAAGATTAATACAAAATTGTAATTACTTTCAAAGACTAAGAATGCAAAATTCTTTATGTTACTGTTTCTATGACAATACTGGAGACAATAATGGCATGAGAAGGAATTCTTATTGCTGTTTCACTTCTTACGATGCGGAACAAAAGAAGAAAAGCAAACTTGTCATTATATGAAAGATATACTTTGTATGTAGATACAAGCGGGTATAATGTTGTGTGGCGACCTTAAAACGTCGCCCTGTACGCTTTTCAAGTGTTGTTATTGTTTCTATTTCCACGGGATGAAATCATTAAATTTAAATATTTTTAGCGCGGATGTTTTGAAACAATTTTAGCCGTTTCTTTAGGTCGTTAGAGATGTTGAATCACCTTAAAAACAGACCCAATGGTATATGAATAAAAACAACATTAATTGAAAGTCTGTTTTCTCTCATTATTGTTGTGAACTATACTCACGAGCGTCATCAGATTCTCATAATATTTTATATTACAACGATATTGACATAGTAATAAGAAAAACTTAAAAGAATTAAAAGAATGAAAAAAGCTTATGCAGTTTTCAATATACTTTGTAAAAAAAAACAATATATACCAACCATGGCTCAACTATTGTGCGCTTGCAAAACACGAAAGTCAACTATGTCTGGGCAACTAAATTAACAAATTTGTTTGAATTCTATCTATTTCAAAATCAATACATATTATAAACTACAATGCAATTCAATGCAAGATTTTATATCTAGAAACTAGAAGTCATCTTTCTTAACTAATATTTAAGTACTTTGACATAATTTGTTTAAAACTTCTAGGCAGCGGTAAGAAAGTTGTCCTTGGTACTTCTCTAACAAACAAAATATTTAAGAATTATTAACTACTAAGAATTATTGGTACTCAAATGCAATTGTGAAATACTTGTAAATATAAAATCAAAATGAATTTATATGCCTCCGCACCATTTGTAATAAACAATATAATCTAGTTTTTGCAGAAATACTGAAAATGACTATTGATTTAAATCAGTATGTGATATTTTATGTAAAAACCCGTTAATGTTTTATTTGCGTTTCCATTATTGTATATGAATATATATCCACATCAATGTGCCGATAGTTGGTTATGTTGCAAGCTACAGATCGTTACCATTGATATAGTTGATTTGTTAAGGAATAAAAAGCCTAATTAGTCAGTCAACAACGATTTTTAACTAACAAAAATCGCTTGAGGTTTCCTATAATTACATTTATAGGTCACGTGAGGGGGTGTTTTCCATTATGACGTCATTATTTGACACATTATCAATATGGCGGCTCACATACATTCTCATTTTGGTTACATTATATACATTTGGATGTTGCTTGCGAGTTAAAGGGCATACTATAAATCGTCCATTTAACGTGCATAAATGTTAATTAGATAAATTACCAAACCTCTATTTGTGTCCAAATAAATTTCCAGTTCTCGTTCATCTTAATAAAACTTTATTGGTAGATATATTGATTGATGTACAAGGAAAAACGAAACATAAAGTTTATTACGGCATATGGACACTCTTCTTGCGTTTGATCATAAACAATATGATATGAAAAATGGCATATACAAAATCATACAAAAATTAAAATTTAAACTTCCACGCATTCATAAATTCATTAGCATTCAGTTGTTACTTATTCTTAAAAGAAAGCACATTTGACAAGGCAATTTGTTGAAATACATAACGCACATATCACATCTACAAAATAGGTAAAAAAAGGTAATTTTAACCAGAATGTCATCACGATGTTCCATAGCATGTATGGAATATTTGACAAGATTGAACAATTTTTTGTTATTATTGAATGAGAACATAAAATGAAAAAAAAAACTTAATCTTGGCCAAGAAATTGACTAAGAAAAGATTATCAATACCGTTAAAAATTTCCAGTTTTGTGAACCTTCCGTTCAATGATGGTTTGCAAGAAAGATGTGAAAGCTCATTATTGAGTGGTGAAATAATACAGGCTGATGTTATTCAATTAAAACGAAAAAATAACCATAGCATTTTAATATACATAAAAAGAGCTAAAATAACATAAGATTTAAACAATAATTTCTCAATGTTATATCGCACATACATAAGAGCACACTATTTCATTTATTTCATATTGTAACGCTGAGATTTTTCCCCCTACTGTTTCCAACATTGTAAATACATTTCCTTCTAGGCATTAAAGCTGCCTTTTTGCTACATTAATGCCTAATTAAACAACCATTCCTAGCGATTGAGGATGATTTACAATCTTTTTTATCGCAGTTATTTGCGCGTATTGTTTAAATATGCCGTTGAATCAACTCTAATTCCAGCTAAGCGGTGATAACAGTAACTGGTTTTATGTTATATCACTATAATTTGTAGCCGATTCAAACAAGATCGTTTTGTACACAACATATAAATTAAGGCGACACTCCTTTAGGCGGATATAACAAATTAAAAAATTAAAATAAAAAACTTAAGACACAAATATCTTGTATTTGAAAAGAATT